TCATTCCAAAAATAAGAGTAGCTTACGTTTAATGTCAATGCTACCGACACTGGATACATTCTCAACTTTCGCCACGTATTCACCAATATCATCATCGGTCAAGTTAGTGAATGTGATATGATGGACCGTCTGTCCTTTATCATCTCCAAGAGAAATATGGGGTGGAAGGCGAGACGGCAGTGGTTTGCCATTCTTAAACCATTTCAAGATCTCCTTGGGACGCTTCGAAAGTTCACATTCAAGGACAATTGGTTCCAGAGGAGGTGAAGTGATATTCAAGTTAGGCAGTTCACGAATGAATTCCAGTGGCGTTCCTTGGAGATCAAAAATTGATGAGAATCAGAAAGATAGGATTAAGTTAGAGTGCGATTAAAGAAAACATACCAACTTGAACAGCGTTCGACGGTTCAGATGGTTTGCTCTTTCCAGCTTTGTTCTTAGCAGTTACACGAAACTCATAGTCAACGTTTTCTTTCATTTTCTTTGCAGGGAAATCACACGCATTATCTGTTACCTTGAAGGGTAATTCAACCTCCTGCCACCTTGTACTGTCCTTGGGTTTCATTTCGATGATGAATTCTGGGGTTGCCTTTGAAGGCATAGCATCAGACGGCAAATCCCAAGTTAATTTGACTGTCTGTTTATCGGGAGTGCTCGATCTTGGTTCAACGACCGCCTTAACATTGTTGGGCTGAGCAGGCGGACCTGAAACGCAAACGATTGGGAAAAAATCATTTCCAAAGTGAATAATTTCAAAGTTGAGAGGTCTACATACCGAAGTCGAGCTTTGTAGACACAGGTTTCGCTTCGACAAAGTCGGATTGACCGACAGAATTTTTGGCCGCAACGGAAAAGATGTAGGTCTTGTCAATCTTGAGAGATTCAATAGGAGTTGATAATTCCTTAGTGGTGGTGACTGGACTAGCCACCCTCATCAAGGATTCCCTCATTTCGACGACATATTCAAGCACAGTGCCAGGTTTATCGCCCTTGAATTCCGGTTCTTCCCAGTTGAACACTACCCGATCGCCAGTATTCTCGGTTACTTCGGGGTTTTTAGGAGGAGATGGTTTGTCCAAGACAAGTAGATGAATCGTCGTAGAGACGTCACCAAGTTCGTTTGAAATTTTAACAGAATAATCACCGGCATCTTCTCCTTTAACTTTGCCAATCGGTAGAGAGGTAAGACCAGCAACTACGTCCGGTATGAAACGAGGTGCGGTTTCCTGAGATCCTTCTTTTGCTGGTTTCCAAGACCAATTTACAGTGGGCTTAGGACTTGCAACGAAAGGTATTTCTACCACAGTTGAAGAACCAGCCTTCATGACAATAGTGTCCTCGAAGTTATGCGACAAGCGAAGAGTCGGAGCGACTATTGTGAAAATAAATGAAGAATTAGATTAACCTGAAACTATCATATACATGAGTGATGAATAACGCATATTTAGACGAAGACCCACCTTGCATATCAAGCTTTCCTGTTGTTGAAATACTTTCAGCTTGAACGGTATATTCGCCCAAGACTTCATCAGTTACCATGGAGATAGTAATGGAGTGAACTGTCGATCCACTCTTTTCATCAATAGTGATAGTGGAAGGCAGACGAGAAGGCAGCGACTTGCCATTCTTCAGCCACTTAACACCACCTCTTGGCTTCCTGGACAGCTCACATTCAAGAACAATTGGTTGAGTTGGAGCAGAAGTGATACTCACAGTGGGCAATTCACGAATAAATTCCAGTGGAACACCTGCAAAGTCAAGGAAGGAGTGAGAAGACGTCAAAAAAATTCATGTAAATGTAAGTTATTAAATTTCCGCAAATCCCACGATCAGAAGCACTCTCACGGTAATGAAAAATTGATTCAAATTGTATTTAAAAAAACAAAATGAAAACAAACCGCATTAAATTGACATATAAAAAAATTAAGAAAAAGGGCTCCATTGGGGAATATTAAAAAGCAAATAAACAAAAATGAAAACATTCGGCAACACATAAATCAAAGATTGCGCATATAAAAGCGACATCACAATAGAAATAAGCGATGCCACTCAAAAAACAAAAACATAAAACAAGAAATATTAAGCAACATAAAAGAAACAAATTATCAAAGGATAAGAGAAAAGGCAAAAAGGCGGCAATAAAAGGTAATTCGAGAAATAGAGCAGATGACGAGGGTTGGAGGACACACTGCTTGCATTTGACCACTTTCAACGCCACACCACATACCCTCTGCTGCCAACTTCAACCCCACGCAGATCTGGGTGATCCGCACTCATCGACTGGCTAGTATGGACACACGCCTGTGGCGACACTAATGATGGATGATTCGGAAGGCCCAAGTGACCCTCAATCTCACCCCAATCTCATCCCAATCACACAACAAACGCACCTGCCAATCCAACACACCCCATCCATTCAAATCTGCACAATGCACTTCAACACTCAGAAACCTGTGTGTGAGTGTGAGTGTGTGTGTGTGTGTGTGTGTGTGTGTGTGCAAATGAACCTACCGAGTTGAATAGCGTTCGACGGCTCCGAAGGCTTGCTTGCACCCGCCTTATTCTTCGCCGTGACTCGGAACTCGTAGTCTGTGAACTCCTTCATGTTGTCGGTGGGAAGGGTGACGTGTGGTTCTGTCAAATCCTTCGCTACCTCAACCCAACGGGTCGAGTCTTTGGGCTTCATCTCTACGGTGAATTCGGTGGTCACGTCAGCGGGCGTGGCACTTTCAT